AAAAATGCAGTTTTCTTCAGACCAGTGGACTTTGCCCCAAAAATCTGATATTCCATATCTGGTGACCATTTCCCTATTGCAGTTGTGTTTGTGTGTGCCTTATTCCTGTCAACAGAGGATGTTTTCCTGGTCGGTGAGAGCGGAGTTCTTCATTGTTAAACGTCTGTTGACAGTTTGTCTTGTAACACTAATATTGACATTCCTCTGTCCTCTTAGCCTGTTGACAGTGGTGAATTGGGGATTGCCTTGCCTGTCTATACAGAAGTCAATCTTCTCTTTCTGCAGTCTTTAGAGGTCTAGCAGACTTGTGTTGCACATCAACATGCCTGCTTTGGTTCAGACACTGTATGAAATGAAAATAACAAAATGGCTGACATTTAAATGTACATCTACAAGCGTGTATGTCATACCACATTGAACCATTCAAGAAGCTTGCAATCTTTCAACATTTGTCAATTTTTTATGTGTCATTTTGAGATACAGTATGAGCACATATGTCATTTGCCAGTCTGTTCTGAGATTCGAACCCAAGACAGCTACATGAAAGGCAAGTTTGTTACCAATTTGTCACCTGACAATCCCTGCTTAATCATGGTTTTCATTAAGTATGACTCTATATCATTTTGTTGCATATCAGGGCCAAATACAAAATGAGTCACTGGAAGGAATATGACAAGGATTAATTTTTCAAAGGCAAAAACAGTTTTTATAAAAATTTTCATACTGAAATAGATGGTCCTTAACTTATGGCCAAATATGTATACATATATATTTATATTAACGTTGTCATTTACAGGATTGTAAGTGACAATGCTTGCATGACATTTACAACATCATAATTGTCACTGTGACTGTGTTTAATTTTATATAAGATATAGGGTGTATTCATGTAGACATAGATCCATACATTACTTTGTTCATATAATTTTACTGAAAGACTTTAGAAATCAGTGTCTCTGGATAAACTTGTAAATAATAATTTATTTTCTTGTGGACCTTTGAATATATATATATATATGATCAATGTAGAAATAGCAACAGTACAGACAAGCGAATTGTCTAATTTTCGAGGTAACCTGTCCCTTTATCAAGACACAAATATTACATAAATTACATCACATACATAGAACTTAAAACAAATACAAAGTTATAAATCTAAATGGAGAGCAGTGGTGTAAATTTAGGTGTCTCGTTAATCTCTTCGGCTGATGGACACCGAAGGCACTTTATAATGGACAAAAAACACTCCAAAGTTGATGTATGTAAAATGGTAATGAAATATTTTAAATGTTTTACATAAATCTAGGTATGTTTTGCACTCTAGACAATGAGCGTATGTAGTCTACCGGTACATCTCGGCCATATACTAAATGAGGAATTGTTTGATTACAGATAAGAAAATTTATTGTAAAAAAAAGTTAAATGTATGTGTAGTAACAATAAAAAGTAATTTGATAAAAAAAAACACCGAATTAAATACACAAAATATATATATATGTTTAAAAAAAATTTATCTATATGTATATATTCATGAATGAATTCATTACAGCACCTTTAAATAGTAATTAAGCTAATAATAAGCTGTTGACAAATCTCTCTTATGGTTAAAGAAAAGGAAAACAGGATTTTTTAGCTTTACATGTGTATGGCCTGCCAAGAAACGTAATAATGGTAAAATTGTCTGATTTAAGGTATGGAAATGCTTCTATTTTTAGAGGATCTTTTTTGTCTAAATGCATTGATACAGAATGAAAATTTGTGTACTATTGATTTAGGTTTGATTGGAATCTAAGCAAATATTTCAGTTCAGATATCAAAGTTTGAATAATTCAAAGGTACGCAGTCTGGTTAGAATTTTTGAAAAAGCTCAGGAAAACTGTTGTTGTGAAGTTTATCTGTGATATTTGACTGAATTTGAAAATTAAATTTGCATTATGAAAGTGGGTTGTAAATCAATGAATTGTTGATTCTGACTTTTTAGCAGGTTTGCATATTCATTTCTTTTTGATGCCTCTGGCTTGCAAACGTCAGGTTTTCTTTGTCTTCAGTGTCTCTGAAATTTTTATTTTGATAATTGTAAGAATTTTCAAAATGGAAGCTTTTTGGGTAAAATTATATAAACAAGAGCCAAGGAAATTAAATGTGATTGATGCTGGGCATACTGTTAGGAGAATACATTACAGGATTCATTTAAGACCAAATGTGACATCTGATAAGTCATTTAAAATATTTTGGAACTATTATTATGATGATAGGCTAGCCACAGATCTCTTATCTGAATATGTAGCCCAGATTTCATTCTAACAAGTTGACTGACCTTGAAGGTGAGGTCAGGAACAATATTATAGCCCTGAACATAGGTCCATGCAATTTCATATCAGTTTGAATGTTATTTGTGGTTTCAATCTTGGTAAATGGCATTTCAAATCCCTTGCTAAGTAAACCTGCATTTTTGAAATAATGCGAAAAAATGACGCTCAAAAATTTGTCTTCGTTTAATTTTCTATGAATTAGAATAGGCATGACTGTACCATGACTTTGATATGGGATATTTGCAGCCTTAACATAACCATGAAAAACTGCCACAAATTTACAAAAAAAAAAAGAAAAAAAAAGTTAAGTAGTGTTAACCCTTTTGTAGTAAATAAGTATCCTTACTATACTAACACATGAAGTTTAAGTCTTGTCACAACATCAGATTTAAAGAAATTCTGTTTTTTCAAATCATATTTTCCTTTTTTATATGACTATGTAAAGCTGTATAATCTGTGTATGTTTTCATTAGGTCATACCTGCGATCTCCTCACTGCCTTGGTACACGACCCTTGTACCTCTAGCTTTTGTATTAGGGATAACTGCAGTAAAAGATGCTGTCGATGACTTTGTAAGTTCAAGGGGTTTTGAGTTTTCCTGGTGGCTAGTTCTAACCTCTAAATTGACCAGGTTCTCCCTTGGTTGGATATGGAATCTCGCTTGCTTTGTCGCGTGGTACACCTCCTCATATGTTTTCACTTTTTAATGATAATAATGCCACTCACTTCAGCACACTGTTTTTGTTTTAATTTTTTTTTCACATAAATTTCAAGGAAGGGATGTCAGCAAATTAGATATATTTTTTTCTTCTGTTCTTTGTAGTCATGTATCAGCAGAACAACACTGTTAATCACGTTAATTGAAAGTCTGTCCTTAATAAAGTATTAAAATCAATATCAAATGAAATCTTAAGAATAGAAAATTGAAGGGAAAAACAAAACCTTCGTAAATTAAGAATTACCTCCCTTGACTTGAAGAATCTATGATGTATCTAAATTGCTGATATCTGACTCTTAAGTTTAACTAACATTTGAAATAATTATTTCACATTTGAAATTATTATTTCACAAGTCTCAATTCTTCAAACTTGTTTTGTTTAATTTTTTTTTTCTTCAAATTAAAATCTTATTTTGAAACTTTCTGCTCATATTTATTTTGTAGTTATGATTTTCAAATGGTTGTGGTTTTCATTAACAGTATTCATTAAATTTAATTTTTTTTCAGATTTTAACTTCTGATATTTCATTTTCATTCTTTAACAACCTTTATATTTAAGATGACTGTCTATTCCTGTACTGTAATGTAAATCTATCATGTTTATTTGATTAAAGGAACTTATTAGAGAAAAACTAATTAGAAAATACTTCTTTCTTCTTTAAATGGACAAATGAAAAAAGCTGAACTTTTAGTTGTTATTTGAAAATGCCAGTATTTAAATCCTTCAAATTAAAAAAGTAGAGAAAAAATTAATAAATGGATTTAAATACATATTTCTTGCTTTTGTATAATTTTTTTCCATAGAACAAAATTAATAAATTTGTATTTGATAAATAGATGATTAAATGAAATAAAGATATTAATGAATCACAAGATGGAATAAAAACTCGTTTTTATATTTTTGAGATTTTGAAAACATTGAAACATAATTTATCTAGAACATTGCACAATATCTATAATTTTGTTACTCATTTATAAGTAACATTTGGCAAAAAGAATGCTCCCAAATATGGTAACCCTAATTATATAGATTAGTTATCAATATTCTTGCTTAGTATGATTATGTATTTCCTCAAACGAATGTTCTTAAGTATTGCATTTTGAAAGCAATTAAAACAGAACTAAGACAATGCATTTTTCATTTGTCCAGTGTATAATATGTGTTTTATAATGTCACACTATCTTGCTTCAAAATTGTGCAGGCAGCCACTTCAACTTGATGCCCTACTTTGCAGGCTTTACATATAACTAGGCTTCAGCTAAGACTCCACTTGCTACTCATGTCCTTGAAAGCATCATAAAGGGTGTGTTACCCTTTAGCTTGCTATGTTCAAGGTCCCCGTAAAATCTTTGATTCAATTCATGCAACTTTTTCTTCAGATAGCAAACTCCAAGAAAACTGTCATTTACTCCTTTCAAACAGTACATACTTTTATTTGTATGTTTTGATTAATTATTTGAAGTAAAAAAATAAATATTTTCAGATAAAACTATTTCAAAGATTCAGATGCGGTATTTGAGATTAAACACCAATTTCGTATATTCATTCTCATATCAATAATAAAATGCTTCACACTGCTTTTCTTGGGAAGTTGGAAAGGTCTTAGGGTTATTTCAGTCTGAAATTCTGAAGGACACTTGGGCGATAAGCAGGATTTTCTCTACATTATAAACAAATTTAAAATTTTGAAAACTATTTAATATATCCTAGAATACATTGAGGTTTAGGGTTTTTTTCAGTCTGTTCAATTCTGCACCAGCAGTTTTGTCTTTTCTGTATTTTTGACTGTTTGAAAGAAAAACGGCAGTTTTTGAGATGTCTCCCCTGACAAAAAGTACTTCTGTGCTGTTGTAGCATTAGTAATGATAATGAGTTATTTGTGTGTATAGTTTCTGTATAGAAAACTTGTATCTAACATTTCTATACTGTCTCCTGTCTCCCATTCCTACCGTCTCCGTCACACTACCAGCTGATTCCAGCAATTTCTTCCTTGACGCCATTAACAACGGTGATTCCATTGGTAGCTGTACTTGCCGTATCCGCACTCAAGGACGCGGTCGATGATTTTGTGAGTCAGGTTTTCACCAAAAAGAAGCATGATGGCAGACACATTTTGACTTGTTCCTGATAATGTTTCATATTTAATTTCGGGGCTGAAGAATTGAACCAGTCAGACTCCGTATATGGATTTAGACTGCTGCTAGTCTCTATCACTGTACTGATCTTCTATATATGCTTTTGATGTAGTAACTTCCCTTAACGTTTGCTACCTTTACTAATTAATATGAAAAAGCTAAATTCTTGAATGCATTTATATAGCTAATTACGTAATTTTCAAGTTGCATGGCTGTGTTTTCATCAGTAAAGGGCAATAACTCTGGTTTGTTATTCTTTACGGGGTTGGGGAATAAGTATTTAATTTATTTTGTCCTAACAACAGATTATAAAAGTAAACTTTTTCATTTTTTAAAAGTTAGTTTAAATTTTGAAGACATCACCATTAAAAAAGAATTCTTTGTTGATAAAAAATTATTACAATTATAAAAATGATAGTTTCTATTTAATTACCATTCTTATTGTTTCTCCTTTTCCTTATACCAAGTTCAACAAAATGACCGCTGATATCAACCATAGGATTTGAATTGAGTATCAGAATTTGCTAGTTTTATGACTTCTATCAGGAAGACGAGCTCTGTGTGTCACAATATCTAGTAATCTAGATGTCTAGTATATATAAGATTAAAACATTAGTGGTAAAGCAAAAAAATCTCTCTTCCTTTTTGTTTTTTTGTTTTTTTATGTTTTTTTTATTTTTTTTGTGAAGTAGAGAATTAGTAAAGTGCTGATTCATTATCAGATTATAAGAATCCATACATTTTTGGAAGAAAGCTTTATTAATATTCATGTACATATTAGATAAATATATACATATATTTTCAAGACTTTAACAATTTTTGTAAGTTTTTTTTTCTCACTCTTTTTGATGTTATCATTTACAAGTCAACATTATTAATTTGTCAGAAAATTAGAAAATTATTGTTGTGAATATGGTTAAAGAGACTTTGATAGTTCTCAAACATTGTTGTTGCTATCTCAGGCATAGTTACCATTGCTGTAACCATTTTGATAATCATCATTTAACTTTAAATGACATCACAAATATCCTTAAATCTGTTTATGAATGTTATGACTGCCTGTTATTGGGAATGACTGTTGTGTATGTCAATGAATATATATCATTTAAGATTCCTTTTCAATTTATGAAAAAAAAAACATCAAATTAAATCATGAAAAATGTCCCAAATTTTTTTTAAAAATTATGTTTAATTTTGATAGAAACATAAGGAAGGTTAACATAGGCTGAAATGATGAGTTCAAAGCATGTCAACTGCATGACTACACCTAAAGTAGTAAAACCAAGCAACAGGATATAGTCTCTGGTACAGAATTAATTTGTATGACAGTGAATGAATTGTGGGTAATTTTTGTCAGACTTTTGTATTATCCTCTGCATGATTAATGGAATTAGTTTTCAATGAATTCTTACCACATTTCAAATCATTATTGTATTTTTTGTAAAAAAAATTTTTTTATTTGGAAAGTTTTTAGTCATAGAATACAAAATACATTAATTCCTATATAAAAAATGTACATAAAGATTGTTCTTTTAAGAAGATAATGTGTCAGTTGAACTTTAAAAATGAAGTGTTTTGTCTGCTCATATAAATAGACTAGATGCAGATGTTTTTGATGATGGATGTCATATCGCGTGTGAGTAAAGGTAAACTATAAACTTAAAAACTAAAATCGCTTGAATTTCATTAGATTTAGGTTTAAACTTAAGTATGATGATGATATTGATGATGATACAGAATATAAAAATTACAGTAAACTTTTGAAATTTTAAAAATTATTTTTCAATAATTTTCCAAAATGAATAGCTAGGAATTATCTGCAGTCTTTATCTGTTATACCTCCTGTACTGTGCATGCTTTGTTTGTAAATAACCGTGAAAGTTATACTGTGTTGTGTTTGTCATCTTTAAAAGCCTGACTTTTTGCTTTCCCTGTAGATATTTAATCTATGCAAGCAAAACAATATTTCAATTAATTTTGTATTGATTGTATTGTATAATGAAAATGTTTGGATTAAAAGATAATTTATCATGAAACATTTTTAAGTATCTATAAAAATTTTATTGTTCAATGTTTTATAATGATTGCAATTAATTCATTTGTTATTACTTTTGACATGGAAAAAAACTGAAATGTCTCATTACTTTAAAACTTTGATTGTTAAGATAAATTTTAGATGATTTCACTGCTGTTTTCATGTTCAAACACAAAAATAATTTCCATTTATGAAATTAATTGCCCACTTTACAGAGACGACATCGTAGTGATGGGCAGGTCAACAACCGTCTTTCTTTTGTACTGCGTGACGGAAAATTGGTGGAAGAACGCTGGCACAAAGTCGTCGTCGGGGATATTATCAAGATGGAAAATAATCAGTTTGTGGCAGTATGTACTCAAATATATCAGAAAAACTTGTTTATCATTTTTTTTTCTGTCTGCATCTGAATCATATGGTGTCAGTTTTGAGATATATAATTTCATCACATGGATTAGTATTTACGAATTTTCCCCACTACCAAAATTGATGCACCTGAATTGAATCTGAGCTTTGAATTCCAGTTTTATAGATGTCAGAATCATTGTGATAACGTAAGATGTTATTTTTGATAGTGTTTTAATGTTTCACTGTTTTTGAGGAAGGAATCAAGCTGGAAATATGTTCTGATACCATGGTGATAGAATTAACCCTGACAGATCATTTTATGATTTTCGTTGAAACATATGTCCTTTTTACATCAGGCTTTTGAGAGAAACTGCAAAATGATTAATCTTGGAAAAATATCGGCTTTACTATAACCAACCTTTTTTTTGCCAGGCGGACCTTCTACTTTTATCAACAAGTGAACCTCACAGTCTGTGCTACATAGAGACTGCTGAACTTGATGGGTAAGTCTTGTGGTTAGATCGTGATTGTACAATCAAATCTTAAAATATCTGGTACTTTACAAGGTAAACAGCTGGAATAGTAAAGATTTTTTGTCATTTGGAGTTCTCATGGTGACATGTGCATTAGTAAAAAAAATTACAATGGAAATGTATAGATTTTAATAATTGAGATTTTAGAATAAAACATGTTTAAATATAGAATGTGTAGGTTGGACATTTCATCAATACAGACCTTTTTTTAAAACACTTGATAGGTCTCCCTGTGTTAATTATGATAAGACCTTCAAAAACTGAGAGCTGCAGTGGTCGAGTGTAATAGGTATCTGTCGGTTTTTACCACTAGCCCTCCACCAGTGCGTCGAGGGCTGGAGACCTATGTGGGGCAGTCGCCAGGTACTGACCACAGGTCAATAGTTTTTTCTTCAGGATTTCCAGCTTTCCTCCGCCACCCAAACCTGGCACATCCATGAATGACCTTGGCTGTTAATAGGACTTAAAGAAACTATAAACCAAACCTATCTGATTCTCAGAGGAAAGATTTTGGTTGTCGGATTTATTGTCCTGTGAATTTTGAGAGAGTCAGCATTATTTTTAGGTAGGAGTCACCTATAAGTAGCTGGTGGCTACCTAACTGAACAACATACAGGAGGCCAGAGATATTATTACAAAGTGTTTACCTAAGAAAACCACTATGTCTGAACAGACTGGTCCATTTCTCTGCTTCCTGCGAAACACAGACCACCACAGATAGTGAGCTTTGAACCACATAACACCAATCTTCACCTGGGGCTACTGAGGCCAACTCTCTTACTGACTGATCTATAACAGGCCTATCAAAGGAAAGACTATCTTTGGTTTAATAAAAAATCATATATGAAAAATGTATAAATATCTGTGTGTGAATGAAAGAGTAAATCCCGACCCTTGACAGAAAGCTTTAAAAAAGTCTTCTCCAGATAGGAATGAATTTTGTTTCTTTCTCAAGGCGTCTGTAAATGGTGCTGATCAAATGCGTGTTTATATAAAAGATTTGTTGTGGAATGGTTGACTTTTATGTTTACAGAGAGACAAATCTCAAGGTTAGACAAGCTCTTCCAGAAACTGCTGAACTAGAGAACGATATAAGCAAACTGACACAATTTAATGGTGAGTGCTATTGTGCTTTTTCAAATAATTTGACATCACAGTGTTTTAGCAAACATAAGATAATAGTGTTGCACATTAAAAAAAAAGATTGTTGTCGGTGTGTGAAATTTTTATTTGTTTCCTATTTTCACAGCATTAAGCCCACATCTGGAAATAAGCCAAACAAACTTTTCTGTTCAGTAGAATGTAGTGTTGTGCTGATGATGGACTTTTCATGAAAATTTATCAAAAAGGGAATTGTTTTTTATTATTTATTGTCAATATGATATTGACGTAAAATATCTGTAACTGTAAGTAAATAATATATATAACAATGTACTTACCTTTTCCATTTACTGTAAAGACAAAAAATGACAATACTTGTATTTCGTTTGAAATGACATGAAAAATTAAAGCTAAAAAATAATTATTGTGCTTCAGTATATCTTGATGAGCATTTCTGGGTATATTTATGAAGAGAACAATTTACGTCGGTCAAATTAGTATTCATGTACGTTGATTATTTATGGTTCATTAGTTATACGAAACTTTGTTCAAATTAATTATAACCAATTACTGAATATAGAATCATGAACTGGTTCCCAATAAATTCCCAGCAAATACTATTTCATTGTATCATGTGATCATTGTAATGTGTTGACCCCTTGGGTTTCGTTCATGGTAAATACTGTTAGTTAGTGTTAAGTGTTTGATGATGAAATTATGAAAATATGTGTTTTGTGAAAACGTTTTCAAATATTGTTTATGATACATATATTTACAGCGGAAATCGTAGGTGAAGCACCTAATAACAAGCTGAGTAAATATGAAGGGACAATGAAGTGGAACAACAAAACGTATTCATTAGATAATGATAAGATCCTCCTCCGTGGTTGTGTGCTCCGAAATACACAGTGGTGCTACGGCCTGGTCATTTTTGCTGGTCAAGACTCGAAGTTGATGATGAATAGTGGAAAGTCCATCTTCAAAAGAACACACATTGATCGTCTTCTTAATATTCTCATCATAGGTGTAAGTCAGGAAATTTGTTTTCATAAATATGTCTGATACATTGTCTTAATATTGATATCATACAATGTCTTAATACTTATGTCATACAATATCTTAATACTGATATCATACAATGTCTTAATATTGATATCATACAATGCCTTAATACTGATATCATACAATATCTTAATATGGATATCACACAACGTCTTAATATGGATATCATATAACGTCTTAATATGGATATCATACAATGTCTTAATACGGATATCATACAATGTCTTAATATGGATATCATACATCATATAATGTATTAATACTGATATCATACAATGTCTTATTTTGGATATTATACAATATCTAATTTATGCAAACCTTCATCTTTCCTTGAGTATTATAATTCCACCATTTTTGTTTTATCTTGTAGATATTTATATTTTTACTGTCATTATGCTTGGCCATGACGATAGCCTGCGGTATATGGGAGACGTTTACAGGCCGATACTTTCAGGCTTATCTCCCTTGGGAGTCGTTTGTTCCTGGCTCACCATCCAAAGATGGAACTATCACAGAGGGCGCCACTGTCATATCTATGCTCGTATTCTTCTCATACATCATCATCTTTAACACTGTTGTGCCCATCTCCTTATATGTAAGGTAATTATCCTTTTGTGTTGTGATAATGAGTTTGTAACTTTGTTGACGAGCAATATTTCTGTGTGTTTGGTGAACTGCTTGCTCTTTTTAATCTCCAGAGTAATTTAGGTAAACCTGAAAAGTCTTGAGAATTGATTGTTTGTGAGATAGATTTTCAGAAATAATGCTGAAAATTCATGAAATTTGATTTCTACTTTTTTTTTTGATGAAATCTTTATACTGATAATTTTCATTTGATCAGATTTGTAGTAAGACAAATAATATACATAAAGATCTTATGTTAAAATCTTACTTCTGGTTCCTTCTTCTTATAGTAAAAACAATTGTGTTGATCCTGGCTTTGTTTACTTTTAACAGTGTGGAGATTTTTCGACTGGTTAATAGTTTCTGGATAAATTGGGATGTAAAAATGTATTATAAAAAAGTGGACACACCTGCCAGAGCAAGGACTACCACTCTAAATGAGGAACTGGGTCAGATCGAGTATATTTTCTCTGATAAAACTGGTACTCTAACACAGGTGAGATATTCATAGGCGTGGTGGTATCTTGATTTTCCTATTTCAGTAAACACCTAACTTGACTCAGAACCAACTTTCTTTAGCATGCCATTTACTTTTGCAAAATTTTGTAATCAAAGCAAAATCATGAGAGTTTATTTTCATAAGATATGATATAGATTTTTAAAAATGTTACAGTATAGTATAATACAACTTGTTTTCATGAAATACATCGTCTTGAACTTGTGGTGGAGTTGATATGAAATTTAGTAGCTGTGAAAGAATGTATCAGTTATTACCGTGAGGTTGTGATAACTCTGTCTACTTCACACAGATGTGTCTGATTCTATTAATTTGTCACTTGTTCCATCTCTCACTTGTATTTGTCATTGTTATAGTTTTGTTGACTCTTTGTTTGACCTATTTCAGAACATCATGACATTCAATAAATGTTCTATAGATGGGAAATCTTATGGAGATTCTTACGATGACTTTGGTAATGCTGTTGAGGTGACAGAGGTAAGGAAAATCACATGAGGAAAAAATAGATAGAATTATATGTCTCAAAATGAAGATGATAGCCTTTATAACCGTATTGATCCTACAAAAAACCCAGGTTACCAAAGAATTTTTACTAAATTCTCAATGTAAATCAACTTATTAATGTTGGATAAATACGGTAAATACTAGTAGGGGTTAACAGAAATTAGTCCGGAAGGTGAAGTTTTACCTTTGACAGTAAACCCCAGGGAGCCAGCTGAGGGATTACCCCTTATTCCATGTAGGGGATGGGCTTATAAACACAGCAATGTTGAATTGTGATTGTCCATGATTGTATGAGGGGTTTTATTACCAGGAATCAGCTTATTAATGGATGGTAACCTGGATTAGAGTGTTCTGTTTATTCCCCTGCCATATTATGGAGAGTGTTAAGTCAAGGTCAACATTGCTTTTTATAGAATTATGTAAATTTGGAGGATTTATATTTATATTTTTTGTAATTTTGATAGGAAAACTGGGAAAAAAAGAAAATTCCAGTTTAATCTTTTATTTTTCATTTCTTGTTATGCTTTCTTTTCTTTTTTTTACAGCATACACCAAAAGTTGACTTTTCAGATAACCCTTATTATGAACCGTCTTTTGATTTCTACGACTCTCAACTCTTGACAGCCATACGCAATGGAAACCCGTTGGCATATAGGTTTTTCTACATCCTGGCTCTTTGTCACACTGTCATGCCAGAGGTGAAAGATGGTAAGTTTTACTGATGTTAACAATTCTTAATAAGTTTTTGATAAAATGTCTTTGTACATTTACTTTTTACATGTACTCTCAGTATAACCTGTCTAATCTAACATGTCGGACACCAAATATTTTTAAAATTAACCGTTCTAATCTGACTTTTTGTCAGCCACAATATATTTTTCAGATTAACCTCTCTAATCTGACATTTTGTGGGACACTACATATTTCTCATATTAACCTCTCTAATCTGACGTTTTGTGGGACACTACATATTTCTCATATTAACCTGTCTAATCTGACATTTTGTGGGACACTACATATTTCTCATATTAACCTGTCTAATCTGACACACTGTTTGTTTACTCCAGGTAATCTGGAATATCAGGCACAATCACCAGATGAGGGAGCCTTGGTTGGTGCTGCTAGAAACTTTGGCTTTGTCTTCAAGGTATGTCTATTCAGAAAAAAACATTTATATCCATTAGATTACTTACATACCTGGTACATACAACTTAAACCTTGTTATATCACCTGTAGGTAAATTTATGTCTTTCATTTTCCTTCTGGAGATCTTTCATAAACCCATTAGTTTTATACCTGAGGTTGGGGGGGTAATTCTGGACAAGCAGTGTTTGATATCACAATTTTGAGAAGAACAATGACTAGAATCAGTTTTTAAGTTTTCCTGATCATGCACATCATTTTTTCTCTGTGTATTATTTCCAGTCGCGGACACCACAAACTATTACCATTGAAGTCATGGGTAAAGAAGAAGTGTATGAACTTTTATGTATCCTTGACTTTAATAACGTCCGGAAAAGGATGTCCGTGAGTATCTGTAATAAATTATCTAAAATCTGATATTTACAGTGAAGAGTACTAACTAGGATTGGTGTGATTAACTGTATGGGTCTTCATTTTCATTTTATTTTGCACAGTTTTTGTATAAACTATGGAACAGCTTTTTTCTTTTCCTTTTAGCAAAAAAAAAAAAAAAATAAATAAATTCTGTTCTAATTACAGAATTTTAATTGTTTTTCTTTTTCTTCATTTCTAATTGATGTTTTATTGTTTTGATTTTTACAGGTTATTGTTAAGAAAGATGGGAAAATTACGCTGCTGTGTAAAGGTGCAGATTCTGTTATCTACGAGAGATTGGATTCGAGCTGTGATAATGCCAAAGAACTTTGTACTCATCATTTAAATGTATGTAACATATATTACTGGTATTTTGATAGCTTGTTTAGGATGAATTCTTTAACACTTGGACATGGAATTTAAATTGATTCAAGTTTTAGAGTGGAGATAACACAAATTATTCATTTTACCCACGTGTCAGGATATAAAATTTAATGAGCGAAAATCTCATTTATTCTTGTCTGATTAGTTAATATTGGATCTTGTTTTGCCACAGAAAACAGAGACTAGAGAAGGCACTAATGCAAGCAATTTTAGCAACAAAAATTAATAATTGATTGATAATTATATTTGATCACATTTGGTTCCTTCATTTTCTGTAATTACCAGTATGATGGTAGTGATTGCTTTTGGGAAATCCAGATTGCTTCTTTAGACATCAATCACTGCTAGAAATGGTTAACCAAACATTCTCTTTACAGGAATTTGCTCAGGATGGTCTCCGAACACTATGTCTGGCTGAAAAACAAATCCCTGAAAATGTTTGGGAGACCTGGAAAAAGAAACACCATGAAGCAAGGTAAAATCTATTTTATATACTGTAAATCTTTTTTTTTTGAGTGGAATTCATTTTTGTGTTAATACATAAGGAGAGCTTATCACAAATTAAAATCCCTCGCAGCCATTTGTACAGAAGTAATTCTTACTGGCCTCCATGCTGATTTGGATACCAATATCAGAGTCATTATGTCTAATAGCCAATTAATTGGAAAATTAAAACTTTTTTAGATCACTGTTTACAACATCATGTATTTTAGAATATGTCTGCAGAGGTAAGTTTGCAAAATAAAGGAGAGTGATTTACTGTATAGAATATAGATAATTAACAGTTCCTGAAATGTGACACCAGTCTGTGTTCATTTTTTGGTCTCTGGTCCATTGAAAGCCATTTAATTAAATCACCCGGGTTCCTTTTATCATCAAATTGAAGAAACTTTAAAAAAAGCTATTGATGATCCTCAGAAAGTAAAATCTTTGCCCGTATTTTGCACCAGGAATATTTCCTTGAAGGATTCTCATCAAACTAAACACAAATAATCTCGGACAAATTTCATTGTCGAGGTTGTAAGGTCAAGGTCAAGGTTATTGTGTTTTCATTTTTAAATTAATAAATCTTCAAAGCGCAATAGCTTGTGGGGGCTTGTAGGGGATATCTAATCCTTTAGCAATACTTAGTATGGTTGTTTTAGCTAAAATTATAGCTGAAAACCTGACTAACTATATTATAGTTGCAAAGAATTATCGTGCCAATTCCCATCACACTGTTTTCGACTTTAGTGGATTGTAGTACGGTTGAAAAAAATGGCTGGATTCCTTAATATCTTAATAAAAATATTGGGTATGAAATCTTTGGTAAGCATTCATTGTCAAACTGTCTAATTAAGTGAATTAAAAACTTAGTTTAGATACACAATGAAGAAGTATAATGCTACACTTAAGTATCTATGGGAAGTCACTCACAGAAAATGTAACCTAAGTGTCTCGCTGTTTTATCAAAGTTGAATAGTTCAAGTGTCCAGTGTTGGTCTTACAGGAAATGATCATCCTGTACACAGCAGTTGATGCATTATGGAAGACACTCTCTGGATCAAGGGCATCTCTTATGAGATATAGGGTTTCAACTTAAACTCATTGTAAAACTAAAACTTTGTAAAGTCAGTCATTTAGACTTCTACTAGAAGCCATTAAAGGCTTTTATCAGTGGTATTCAATAAGTAAACAATACACAAAATAATATAAAAACAAATTCAGAGTTTCTACAATGCATTGTTAATATTTTAAAAATACCTTTGTTTTCATTGCAAGAAACAAGAAATATACAATTATTGACCAGTTAAGATGTGAATGCAGGGATTTATTAACCCAAGAAAGTGATATTTCTTCAGGTTGACAGGTCAATATCTGATCTAATATGTGACGACAATCGGAGATTCTGATTGGTCAAAAATTGCAGCACAGGTTACTGGATTGCTATAATCACCTTAATTGCCGGTCAGAGTTTTATATTCACCTCTCATGCACATTTTAGAATAACATTTTAGACTTATGTGGGGTACTTTGACCAATCAGTGTGTAAGCAAATAAATGGCAGACATATAATTACACAAACTATTTTTCAGTTAACACATGTATGGATTTTAATCGAGCATAAGTCAATTATTATTCATTTATCAATTAGTAAACTGAGACTAATTCCCATCATTGTCACTGACACATATATATTTTCACAGTACATCATTACAAGATCGTGAAGCCAAAGTTGATGCCGCTTATGAGGAGATTGAAAAAAATCTCATTCTTATTGGAGCTAGTGCCATTGAAGATAAATTACAAGATGGAGTTCCTGACGCCATCGCTAATTTAGCAGATGCTGGGATCAAAATCTGGGTTCTTACCGGAGATAAACAAGGTAAGGTGGTCTTAAGGGACAATGCCAATATAAACCTGAATCTTTCTATTAAGGTGATGGGAACCTGTTATCCTTAAGCCATGGGGGAAACCTGTAACTGAAATTCTCCTTGAAATACTTTCTTGATTTTTGAAATAAGAACCTTGAGGTCTTCAAAGGGAATCTGCAACTTAATTTAGAGAAGAAATGATAAAAATCATCCTCGACACTTCAGGGTTTTCTGTCACTTTCATTCTCATCATCCCTGGAACATTTCATGGCAACTTGAAGGCACACACAAAGTAATCTGATTGGTCTAGGGCAGGTTTTGAGAGAAAAAAAGACCAATTATGGACTGATACACTCATTTGAAAATTACAGAAAGGAATGATACTCAACTTCAAAGCCAGTACATTATACCATTTTACTATCAGATCTTCAATCAGAAATGATGATTATTTGAAAGAATGAAGTTTTAAGGCCTTCAGGGGAAATCTCCGAGTTCTTTGTGGGGAATCTTTGTTCTTGAGGCCTTCAGGGAGAATCTCTGTTCCTCTGGCCCTCAGACGAAATCTTTGTCCCTGAGGCCTTTAGTGGGATTCTTTTTCCCTGAGGCCTTCAGGGAGAATCTTTGTCCCTGAGGCCTTCAGTGGGAATCTTTTTCCCAGAGGCCTTCAGTGGGAATCTTTTTCCCTGAGGCCTTCAGGGGGAATCTTTGTCCCTCAGGCCTTCAGGGGGAATCTTTTTCTCTGAGGCCTTGAGGGAGAATCTCTGTTTCTGAGGCCTTTGTTGGGAATCTTTTTCCCTGAGGCCTTCAGTGGGAATCTTTCTCCCTGAGGCCTTCAGGGGGAATCTTTGTCCCTGAGGCCTTCAGTGGGAATCTTTTTCCATGAGGCATTCAGTGGGAATCTTTGTCCCTGAGGCCTTCAAGGGAAATCTTTGACCTGCAGACTTTTATTTATAAGTTTTAGGATGCCAAGTGAATCTATGAAATCCTTATGTTTTTGGTAGAATTTATACTCCTGAGACCTTCAAATGATCATAAGATCTTTATAAAGACAAACAAGTTTAGTTCTGTAAATATTATTTCTTATGTCTTTGTGAAATATTAAAGCAAATGTCTGCTGATGAAAATGTAAATCATGTTTACTGTTTCAGAAACTGCTATCAATATTGGTTATTCATGTCGTCTGCTGACCGACGAAATGGAAGACATTTTTGTGATAGATGCTGAATCTTTTCAAGATGTGAAAAAGCAAATGACTGATGCTTTAGATGAAGTGAAAAGAATTAATCGTGAAAAGAAAGAAGCCTCGGAAAGTAATAACGTACAAATTGCAAATGGTGGTGGCGAGCAATTCTACAATGGTGGAATGGGTAACGCTGTCACAGAAGATGACATATGTAACGAATTTGCTCTTGTTGTCAATGGTCACAGTCTGGTGAGTTTTCTTAAAAATTAATATCACATTTTTATGTCTGTACTTAATTCTTTGTAAATCAAAAATTCCACGCTTTTCAATTTTTTGTTTTTTTTTTTTGCCAAGAGGCTGTTTGAAGCACGTAACTTGAATTTCATTATGTATTGTGTAAGTTGGGTTGTGCAATAAATTTTAATATTTTGAGGGTGGGGTGGAGGGGGAGGAAATTGCATTTCATTTTCCAGAAATCAGACACTTTTGAAACTAGTAGTTAGTGAGCGATGATGTAACTGATATTTCATTCAATGCAATCTTTGTAATACATTTTATATTCCTGTTATTTTGGAAACATTTTGTGATCAACATTATCGGGAATTTTTTTATTTTGTGTACAGATCCAAGCTCTCAAGCCAGAGATGGAACAACTACTTCTGGAACTGGGTTGTTCATGTAAGGCTGTCATCTGCTGTCGAGTTACACCACTTCAAAAGGCCCTGGTTGTGGACTTGATTAAACGTAACAAGAAATCCGTCACCCTCGCTATCGGTGATGGAGCGAATGATGTTAGCATGATAAAAAGTGAGTTTTACTTGAAAATTCACTCCTGCTTCCAAAACCTCTTATATTTTGGAGTTCTTATATTCTAGAAATAAATTTTACTACTAGTTTCAGTAATTTTTGTAGCTCAAACCTGTATTATGCCAGACCATGTCACTGCAATTTTAGAATCCACTGTAGTCCTTTCATAAATGTCTACTTTATTAAAACAACTACTTTACCCCAGGACTCCAAATTAAATCACTTCTATCTATGGTTCGGTGTCCTGCCTAATTACTTCTGAGGAAAGCATCAATTAAAGTCTTTATATGGCACCACTGTACAAAACCCGGAGTTCTGGGGTGGATTAGATGTTTTAACTGAACACTCCTCTGTTGTTTGACTCCTCAATAATTTAAGAGGGAAAAAAAATTACCCAGTACCCAATATTTCATTATACTTTGGATCTGAATTGAAAATTTTGAAATATATGAAATCAAATTAATGCTTGAAATCTATGTTTAATATGTTCATAAAACATAAAAATATATAAACATACTCAAATACTTGTATTCATCATAAATCAGCTCTCCTCCCTGGAGATCTCGTTCTCTAGAAATGAATTCCAACCACCAATCTCAAAATCAAATTGAGTTTTTCTAATTCTTTTTGTTTATAGCGGCACACATTGGGGTCGGGATCAGTGGCCAAGAAGGACTTCAAGCCGTCCTAGCCAGTGACTACTCCATATCTCAGTTCAGATACCTCGAGCGTCTGCTCCTCGTACATGGGCGCTGGTCCTACTTTAGAATGAGCAAGTTCCTCAGATATTTTTTCTACAAGAATTTTGCATTCACGTTGTGTCATTTGTGGTTTGCCATTTTCTGCGGGTTTTCAGCACAGGTAAGGAAACATATTTAGATATGTAATCAAAATGAGATTGGAAATAGAATAGTTTTATCTGTTTCCTAAAAGTTTAATATTATTTCTAGCTTGAAATTGAATAACAAAATGAATCATAGTTGAACCTTGATATCTCAAACTAAGCTGGACCATGGGAAGACAGAGTATTAGAGTGAGTTAGAATGTTAAGTGTAAAGATAGGCAGGGACCATAGAAATGTTTGGAATTAAATGGAGACTTTGAGTTATAGTTCAAGATAATGAGGTTCAGCTGTATTATCTATCATATTAAAAAAAGGTTGACTTTCACTGTTTGGTTAAACCTTAGTTTCTATATTTGAAAAAACTGTTTGTTTTTCATTTATTCTTTAAGGACTACAATTCAACAAAGGACTGAGTTTTAATTTGGAAATGCAATTGTGTAAATGTTATAATGATTTATTTTTCAGACCCTGTTTGATCCGTACTTCATTTCCTTCTACAACTTATTTTATACCTCCATGCCATGTCTCTTCATGGCCGCATTCGATCAGGCAAGTATAGTTGTTTAAAGTAAGTCCATTATAAAAACATCACTGAGTTTTATAAAAACACCTTTCTGATGTCTCGTCAAGTATTTCAGTGGTTATTCACTCAATTTCGACCTTTTCATTGCTTTATCAATCTATATATATGTATATTTTGTCAATCTTTCCATCTTAGTAATGTACTTCGTATATCAGGTTTATCCAGCCATAATCCCTATGCTTGGAAATAAGCTCATCCCTGTCTGTTGTTGTGACTGTAAAATACTCAAGTATATTGTTGTCCTGTAATAAGCCCACCTTCTCAGTTCAAGTTAGAATATCTTTTGTTGATTTTGAAGTCTTACTGCAGGAAATTAAGAAGAAGACTCCATCAGTGTATCAGATGTAGGTCATTGTGTCTTTGTTCTTTGATAACTGCTTTGAATGTAAAAGCAGGGAATTATTATTTTTTTATGTTATCTAAGAATTAGAATTAGGGGAAGGAGGTCTTCTTGGGATTGATAATGGGTCAGTTTTAATTGAAAGAATTATTTTACATGAAGCCAAATTCCCAAAATTTGCAATTTACTTAATCAATTCTCTTCCGAAATGAATCATCCAAGCATCCAATCCAAGCATCCATCCTGAACAAGTAAAACAAGCCCTGTGATATTATATTTTGTTCTTCTGGGCTTACTAAAGAGAAAATTTTATTATAATATTTGCTGATATCTAAAATTGATGTTTTGGGATTTTTGTTGATATTTTAACACCTACTATGGTAATTTCTGGCTGTACAAACAGTCAAAGAATGAAGATAAAAATGTCATAATATTTTATGGTATTTATCGTTTGCAGGATGTGAATGAAAGTTATTCACTGCGATATCCCAAACTGTATACCCCTGGTCTGAAAGACATGCTGTTCAACAAAAAGGTTTTCCTATTAGGGGTCAGCGAAGGATTCATCACATCTCTCATCCTCTTCTTTATCCCGTATGGAGTATTCCATTGGGCAACTAACCCATGGGGCACTGACCTCATTGACCATCAGTCGTTTGGGGTCGTAGTCGCGTCCATACTGGTTGTCGCGGTCAACCTACGGGTGAGTTTATTAAAGATATGTTGTGTGTATAAAATCATTAATGACTGATAGATGGAACACTGACCAGAATTATATTTGTGTGCTTTTCAAGGCGATTATAATTTGTTTTGTTGTAGTGAATGATAAGTGATAATTTGAATTATCATTTACATAAAATTGAGCCATGATGCAAAAAAAGAGAATAAAAATACTCTGAATGTTTCGTTAAAAAAAAAATTACAGAAGAAAAAAAGGAAAAAAGATTTTCAAAAATTATATGTTGTTCAATCTGTAAAGGTGTTTTATGAATTTTTTTTGTTTAAATTTGTTCAGTTTTATTTATTTATAAAAAAACACTTTCAAGTAGATACTGAAAGGCAATCTCACAAATTAAAAAACAATGGATGATTTATTATCCCAGTTTCTCAAAACATTTTTTTTCTGGCAGGTAATATATACTGAATTTTTATACCTCAACAAGTTAGAAAAGATTCTTAACTCTCTTCAGAAGGTTCTTATATATGAGAGCCATATAGAAATGTTTATCTAAGTGGAATGATATTGGAGTGTTGGTAGCTATGTGTACTAACTGTTGGTATTATATTACAGTGTGCCCTGGAGACGTCCTACTGGACTGGCTTTAACCATTTTGTGATATGGGGGAGCATTATCCTGTACTTCTGCTTCATCCTCACCATGTACTCCAGTGTGTTTAATTACACTTATATGGGTACCGCCTACCAGGTCTTCTCTACGGCAAACTTCTGGCTTTGTCTACTCCTTACTATCACCGTCCTTCTCGTCCCTGTGGTTGCATATCGTTTTTACTATCTTGATGTCCACCCCACTCTGAGTGACCGTACAAGGCTCAAACAGCGTATGTCCAAATCCAAATCTCGCTCAGGGGACATCGTGATGCGTCGCCAGTCAACACTTCGTCGCAGCACAAGGTCCTTGCGTTCGGGCTACGCTTTCGCCCACCAGCAAGGTTTCGGTGAACTGATCACCAGCGGTTTAAACATGCGACAACGAGTTGAGCAAAGTGAGGCTAAAAGTAATCCAGTACAATTAACTAAAGTCAAACGTATACAAAGTTCGAACTCGCCACGAAATGGCAACAGCACCTCAGAAGGTTCTCATGTGAATAATGTGACGGAACAGGAACATGATAAACATGTCATGTTCAGTGAAAAGCTTTGACAAAACAATCTAAGGGATTGAAATGTTTGGTGAAGAAATCTGTGATTATTAATATTTTACTTTCTTTAAAGAATGTAAAATTGTATTTCCAGTTATTTAGATAACAAGATATATGGAATTCTGTATGTAAATCTTTTCTTCTGACTGAACAGGGAAGAAAATCTTATAGTTTGTAAATGTACTGTTAGATAAATGAATTACAATATTTTGTAAATTCATATTTTGATGTATTGATGGTGCACGATTTTATTATTCAAATTTCTTTTTCACTTTCTACACCCACAATATTTTCTGAGTACTGATTAAATTCACAAAAACACCATGACATATTATGTGCTCTGATATTTCTAAGAAAATTACTTCTCACTCTCAAAATCTGGCTTTTTTATCAGTTATTCATTGAAGGATTTTATTTGGCCTTTTTTTCATACATCAAACGAACAACCATGTGAATGATGTTTATCCATCCATCCATCCGTCCATCCATTTAGGAACTTTCTCCTTATCGGGACCAAAATTTCAGAACTGATCAAACACAATCAATGTCTGATCAGTAGATTATGGAAGGGTCAGAGGTCACTCCTACTAGAGAGGTGTAAAATACTGGTATATACACACATATTCATTAGTTTGGAATTTACATCTTCCATTTAAACAGATTTATTCAGGATTTACAAAATTAACAGCAAACTTTAGGCCCACAATGAATGGACTGGTTTTGGTAGAAAAAATTTTTTTTGCAAAAATATTTTGCAATAAAGCTTTCATATATAGATATATATATCAACATTTAAGAAATGAAAATAAATGCAATCGATAGTTTGACAAAAGCTAGAATATATTTATTCATTCCTACAAATGTCATTGTCAAAGATTTATATAATGTTTAAAATTTTCTCTGTATAAAATGATGAGATGCAAATTTACCTGTATATTTACACAGAATCGAAAATTCTGACAAATGCAGGAAAAAATCATTGTGTACTTTACAAAATTATTTACATTTAACATTTTGTAAATATATATAAAAATAATGGAGGTACCACTGTTCATTGTATATATAAATTTATATATATATATAATTATGGTACCTCTTTTCTGAAAACATCCTATTCTTTATTTTTCCACCAGTTTGAGTGTTGTTCAGTTTATGCAAAATATGTAACTATTCTACAATGCTATTTTAAGCATATATGAGTACAGGTATGATTGATTCTTGTGTATGTTTGGCCATGGTAATTTGTTAAAATCATCGCTTCTTTGCTAGTCATGTTTACTTAATCCAAACGTGTTCATTTCAATTATTTTCTCCTTAACATTTCTGGAGCGATAACTTTTGGTTTATCTATTAACGTAAATGTGTTTATGTTCATGGTTTGCAGATGGAAATTAAATTTTTAAGGAAATGTTTATAAAAATTGGGTAAAGAAAACTTGCTCAAAGGGAGATAATTACATTATTTAGAAAACTTTAAAATAAAAACAAAAATAGGACTTTTAGAAATAGGTCTTCAGCTGTAGTCTTCTTACTGCAAATCAATATTACATTTGATAGGAACATGAAAGTAAATAAGCACTCTTTGAAATAAATGAATCCGATTTAAAATTTATGAAATGAATTTTAAAAAGTATTGAAACCAAATGTTAATTGGTCATTGTGTTGTTGATTGTTGTCCAATGTTTCATGTTAAATGACAAATTCTTAAATGTTAATAAGAATGCTATATGACACAATACCACACTTTAATAGGACTCAAATTATTTGTGTCAAGGCAATTTAAATAGGTCACTGAGTGACAAATCTAATAAATAGGAAAATTAGAACATGCATTACATAGTCAGATGTGTGTATGAAACAGGATTTTAGCAATTAGAAAGAAAATAGTGTTGTAAAAAACTTGGACGATAGACCCAAGATATTTTTTTGTTTTTTCTCATTATACATGTACTTGTTAATAATTAGACTCATCTCAAAAACATTAAAACAACTGTACATCTTTTGGTCTTAAATGTTATCAGAAACATAAATTGATTGTAGCAATCTTTATTTTTTCTGATATTACCATCAGCAAAATAAGGATCATGAATATCTGTGATGACGTGATGAGAAATACTTTATCTGCTGGCAGTTTTGTGGATTCACTTTTAAATGATAGAAAAACAGCTAAATTATTTTTTTTGTCTTATAATTAATTCTAAATCTTTATCATATGTCAAAGTTTGCTACTGCGTATTAATTTTCTATTACGAGAATCTATTTCTAATACTTATTGATGCTGCTGCTTTAGACGTTTACTGTGAAGCTTTCTTATCTTGCCAAAGTTATTTAAAACTTGTCAAGTGTCTGTCAAGGTGAAATGAAAGGATTGTCATGATGTTGGTTAGGTTTCTTTCATTATAAAAACTGTTGCCTTTTTTTCATTGTTATATATGACTTTTTGATGTTTTGCTTAAATATTCCTGTTTATTTTTGTTTTGATATAAACGTTCACCTTTTTAAAGTCTGTAAGAAATTGATGTTTTTGTGACTTTTGCTATCAGGCTGACTTCGACCAATTCTATTACACCTTCAATGTATTATACATGACAAATGTGAGAGACATTTTCTATTTAACAAGATTTCATTTGTTTTATTTCCATTAAATACTAAAAATTTTTTACTAAAAATTGGCAGTTAATTAAAGACATGTGCTGTGACTGAACGGTCGTTTTAATTTCTGTACTGTTAAATGAATACTTCTATTTTTTTCTTCTTTTTTTTTAAAAATAAATTTCAAGTTTAATGTTGTACTTAACTTTAGACATTAGAATATTGAGAAATTGATGATTATAAGCTGTTTGATTTCAAAACTGTCAAAATATCTGTTTGACCTGCAACCGTCAAAAAAAGATTTTTGAACAACAGAACTTTCAACATTTTGTAGAAAACAAGATGCTGCAATGGTTGAGTAGTTAAAATGTCTGACCATCTCTATTACTAGACCCCTATCTCTGGGTTGCTGGTAGAGTAGTCACCAAGTATTGGCCACAGGTCGATGGTTTTTCTCCAGGAACTCTCCTCCACCACCTAACCCTGGCACGTGCTTAAATTAACCTGTCTTTTTATGTCTAAGACATAAAGCAACAGTAAACTAAATTAAGCCAAACTAATAATTTTCAAATTGAATAATGTTTGATTATTAACTGAAAGATGGCATTTCCTTGTCTGTTGGATGTAAGTTACTTTTAAGTCAAATTCTTTTTCAATTCTCACATTGAAATGTGTGAAAAATTAGTTTTCAAAAATTAGGATGTCTTGATATATCAAATTTTATATTGAAAATAAGAAATTATAGAATATTTCCAAATTTTGTCCCCTTACACTGCCGGATAAGGATAACTGATCTCAATAATGCATCACATGTGTATCATGTAGTTGTGTTCTGTTGTTATTCTTTGAATAATTATACACATTCATGAGACATCAGAAATAAGAATTTTTATATATATGAAATGGACATCAGATTTTATGTACGGTATTGTTAAGATGTCAAATAGAAATTATTTCATCAGCGTAATGAAGTTAATTACGTTGATACATATTTTGAAGTTTGTATTTTCCTTTTACTGTGCATATGTTCTGGATGATAAAATCCTCATTGATGACATGAAATGTAATTAGTAACATTAATTATGCTTGGTAAAAGAAATACAGTATGTATCGCCCTTGTAAATTTTTTCCCCATAAAACTTACCTATAACATAACCCAGTAACTTACCACTAAAAATGTACACTAAATATTCACCTGTATGAAAGATCACTTATAGAATTTACCTTATGAAATTTCACTAAGAATTTGCTAATATGTTCACTAAGAGTGAAGTACCTGGAGAAACTCACCAATAATTTATGAACTAGAAAATAGTGCTAGCATTCATAACTACAATCCAAAGACTTTTTACATAAGTATTCTTTTAATTTGTTTATTATGATACTGTTCTGTTAACAATAAGCAAAATATTTTATTGTTAATTTTCATGGAGTTCTGTCCCCTGAAACTAACATAGATCATAGGAAATTCATTTTTTTTTGTTTTTGAGCTGTTCAGAGTGTAGACCATTTGATATTTACAGATGTTGAACGAGGAAAAAAAAGATGATCAAAACTATAATAGGTGGAGGGGATTCAAAAGGAAATTATGGTTTCACTCTGCACGGTACTATGTACATCATCCTTAAAATATATAACACAATATATCAATATATACCAGGTATATATATATATGAAGGCTTTACCTATATGAAAAAATTGAAATACACATGTTTTTATAAATAAAATGTTTTGCTGATAATGTGAACTAAATACTTTGTGCAATTTGTAAATAAAAAGAATTTAGTGTTTGTTTTTATGAAATGTATTTGGTATTCAGACAGATGAATGTTTCTGATTGAGACAAATATTTAAAACCAGTATACTCAATCAAGGGTCAAGGTCATTGATAGAATCTTAGGCAAGCATTCTTAAAACAACTACACTGTGTTTCACATTGATTTTGTATCATTTTTATTCATTTTCTGAATGTCATTCAAAATTTGAAAATGAACATCTAATTGAGAAAAAAATAAATGTTCATATTTGCTTTGATTTTTTTTTTTTAGTCCTACATATTAAATTATTTTATGAATTGAAAGAATATAGTTCATAATCACATTTGTAGTTTTTACTTTCAAAGAATGATAAGATTTTATTTTAGTCGTAAGATAAAGGAAACTTTTTATGAATGGCATACCAGTCAGTAGAAAATGACAAACAAAGTTTTGGTAGTACTGTTTTTCACATTATATAAATGATACTTGGAAACTTAGTGCTTAAAGCTTCATTCTGAAGGGAATTGTGGCAGATTGGACATAGCAGTCCCACAGCATTTTTAAAATTTTTTTTCCTGGAGAGGTTTAGGGATGAAAGGTGGTTTGTTGTGATATATGGGACCATACATACAAACGTATAGTTGTTAACATGCT